TTGCAGATTCAGACTAACACGGCGACCCCTCTGATACTTGACACTGTGATGCTGTTGCAAAAAAAGCAAATGTGATTCTGAGCTGCATTAACAGGAGTGTTGTGAGCAAGACACGAGACGTCATTGTTCTGCTCTGCTCTGCTCTGCTCTGCGCAGATCAGGCCTCAGTTGGAGTATTGTGTCCAGTTCTGGGCACCACGTTTCAGGGAACGTGGAGAAATTGCAGAAGGTCCAGAGAAGAGCAACGAGAATGATTAAAGGCCTACAGGGAAGACATGCGCAGCTTGACCTGCTGCTCACAAACAGGGAGGAGCTAATAGGGGAAGTGGAGGTGGGTGACAACCTGAGCTGCAATGACCATGAGATGGCAGATTTCAGGATCCTGACCAAAGGAAGAAAAGAGAGTAGTAAAATACACACCTTGGACTTCAGAAGAGCAGACTTTGACTCCCTCAGAGAACTGATGGGCGGAATCCCCTGGGATGTTAACATGAAGGGGGAAGGAGTCCAGGACAGCTGGCAGTATTTTAAAGAAGCCTTATTGAAGGCACAGAAAGAAACCATCCTGATGCGTAGCAAGAGAGGCAAACCTGGTAGGAGACCGGATTGGCTTACAGGGGAAATCCTTGGTGAACTTAAGCACAAAAAGGAAGCTTACAGAAAGTGGAAACTTGGACAGATGACTAGGGAGGAGCATAAATATATTGCTCGAGAATGCAGGGGAGTTATCAGGAAGGCGAAAGTACAATTGGAATTTCAGCTGGCAAGGGATGTGAAAGGGAACAAGAAAGGTTTCTACAGGCATGTAGCAATAAGAAGGTGATCAGAGAGGGTTTGGGGCCCTACTGGATGAGGGAGGTAACCTAGTGACAGATGATGTGGGGAAAGCTGAAGTACTCAATGCTTTCTTTGCCTCTGTCTTCACGGACAAGGTCAGCCCCCAGACTACTGCACTAGGCAACGCAGTATGGGAAGGAGGTGGGCAGCGTTCAGTGGAGAAAGAACAGGTTAGGAGCTATTTAGAAAAGCTAAACGTACACAAATCCATGGGCCTGGATTTGGCAAATGTCACTGCGGAGCCTTTGGCCATTATCTTTGAAAACTCGTGGAGATCAGGAGAGATCCTGGATGACTGGAAAAAGGCAAATGCAAGTGCCCATCTTTAAAAAAGGGAAGGACAATCCAGGGAACTACAGACCAGTCAGCCTCACCTCAGTTCCCAGAAAAATCATGGAGGGGCTCCTCAAGGAATCCATTTTGAAACACTTGGAAGAGAGGAAAGTGATCAGGAATAGTCAGCATGGATTCACAAAGGGCAAGTCGTGCTTGACCAATCTGATTAGCTTCTATGATGAGGTAACTGGCTCAGTGGACATGGGAAAGTCAGTGGATGTTATATACCTTGACTTTAGCAAGGCTTTTGATACGGTCTCCCACAATATTCTTGCCAGCAAGTTAAGGGAATGCGGATTGGATAAATGGACGGTAAGATGGATAGAAAGATGGCTAGAAGGCCGGGCCCAGCGGGTAGTGATCAACGGTTCGATGTCAGGATGGAGGTCGGTTTCTAGTGGAGTGCCCCAAGGTTCGGTTCTAGGACCGGTTTTGTTCAATATCTTTATTAATGACCTGTGTGGATGACACTAAGCTGGGGGGAGAAAGTTTGCAGATGACACTAAGCTAGGGGGAGAGGTAGATACGCTTAAGGGCAGAGATAGGGTCCAGAGTGACTTAGACAAATTGGAGGATTGGGCCACTAGAAATCTCATGAGATTCAACAAAGACAAGTGTAGAGTCCTGCACTTGGGACGGAAGAATCCCAAGCATAGTTACAGGCTGGGGACCAACCAGTTAAGTAGTAGTTCTGCAGAAAAGGACCTGGGGGTTACAGTGGATGAGAAGCTAGATATGAGTCAACAGTGTGCCCTTGTAGCCAAGAAGGCTAATGGCATATTAGGATGCATTAAGAGGAGCATTGCCAGCAGATCCAGAGAAGTGATTATTCCCCTTTATTCAGCACCAGTGAGGCCACATCTGGAGTGTTTCATCCAGTTCTGGGCATCCCACTATAGAAAGGTCGTGGACACATTGGAGAGGGTCCAGTGGAGGGCAACCAAAATGATTAGGGGTCTGGAGCATATGACCTACGAGGAGAGGCTGAGGGACTTGGGTCTGTTTAGTCTGCAGAAGCGAAGAGTGAGGGGGGACTTGATAGCAGCCTTCAACTTCCTGAAGGGAGGTTCCAAAGAGGATGGAGAGAGGCTGTTCTCAGTAGTGACAGATGGCAGAACAAGGAGCAATGGTCTCAAGTTGTGGTGGGAGAGGTCCAGATTGGATATTAGGAAAAACTATTTTACTAGGAGGGTAGTGAAGCATTGGAATGGGTTACCTAGGGAAGTAGTGGAGTCTCCATCCCTAGAGGTGTTTAAGTCTCGGCTTGACAAAGCCCTGGCCGGGTTGATTTAGATGGGATTGGTCCTGCCTAGAGCGGAGGGCTGGACTTGACGACCTTCTGAGGTCTCTTCCAGTTCTGATTCTATGATAAGGGGATGGTTGGATGAAATAACATGATCTTGGTAACTAAACTAGGATTCTAGGACTCTAAAACTGAAAGAGCTGGGCTTGTTCAGTTTGGAAAGGAGATGACTGAGGGGACATGAGAGCGGCTTTCAGGTACCTAAAATGGTGTCACAAGGAGGGAGAAAAATTGTTTTTCCCTGCCTCTGAGGACAGGGCAGGAAGCAAGGGACTTCCACAGCAGCAAGGGAGGTTCAGGTTGGACATTAGGAAAAACTTCCTGCCTGTCAGGGGGGTTAAACACTGGGATAAATTGCCTGGGGGTTGTGGAATCCCCATCCCTGGGGATATTGAAGAGCAGGTTGGACAGACACCTGTCATCAATGATGTTGACGGTGCTTGGTCCTGCCGTGAGGGGAGGGGACGGGACTCGATGCCTCTCGAGGTCCCTTCCAGACCCAGAGTTCTCTGTTTCTGTGATTTGTCGGGTGGGTGCAGGACACAACACAGTTCAGGTGTCCGCTGTACCTCACGGAGCCGGGCCTGTCATGCGCTGCAGGTGGAAGGCTGGGCCCACCGTGTCATGTCAGCACCTCCTGCTGGTCAGGCTGGAGGCTTCGGCGCGCTTGGAGGGTTTGCTGTCCAGATACTTGTATTCTGTGCTGGGACTGGTGCTTTTGATTCCCTTCGTCTCTGGACTAGACGTAAGCAAGGTCTGGCAGTTCCAGGCCTGTAGCTGGCACTGATGAGTCAAAGACCTGGCTGAGGGCCACAGATTGGTCTCGTGTGCGACACGGTGAGATGTGGGCTTGCCAGGCTTGGGTGCACTGCATGCCTGCTGCTCTTTCAGCCCGCACACGCACTACACAGCAGCACCAGCGCTGCCCTCTGGGCTGCTCCGGCCTCCAGCCCCCAGGAGACCCAGGGCAGCATGGGGTGCATCTGGAGCCAGGAAAGGCCCAGCTGAGGAGACCGTCTTTCCTCGGTTTCTCTCCTCGGTAGGCAGGCGTCTTTCCGAGAAATTCAAGGAAATTAATGCAGCAAAAATCTTTCTTCAGCATCCCAGGAAGGAAATTCATTTTCCTGGAGAGCTTCAGTTCCTGGCCCCTCCTGCCAGCGTGGCGGCGGGTTCAGCCAAACAGCCGGGTTTAAGGGATGCACGTCTTGTAACGTGTGTGTCCAGCCTCCTGCCTCAGATCATTGGGGGCAGCCCTGGGTCACATGCAGCCACCAGGGTCCGGGGGGCCAGGAGACAGTTTCTTTGCCTTTGCCCATGCACAGGGCTGCCAGATGCTGCTGGTTGCCATCTGTGTCTCCCTGCCAGAGTAACCAGAGAGCTACGCAGGGAAGCCGGGCTCCATGAAGCGAGGCTTGTGCGCATTGCTCACTGGGGAGGCCAGCGTGCAGTAACTGATGAGCTGGACTGCATCGGAGGCAGCACGATGGGGCAGGGGTGGAAGCGGGAGCCGGCTTGTACGATGGCTCTCAGCGTGTGCCAGCTCCATGGGGTTCACTCAGCTGGGGAGTGGGGGTTCATGTCAGTGGATGCTAAGGGGAGGGAAGAGCAGGAAAGGACAAAGTGCTACCCCAGAGTTCCAGCTCCCGCCCGGCGTGGATTTGGGGAGCTCTTCCAGATCTTGTCCAGCACGAGTGACTTTCCGGTCTTGCCTGCGAGTGGCAGACAAAGGAAGGTGCCGATGGGCGCATGTGAGAGGGCAGGCCCAAGGATGTGAAATATCGATTTACTAGCCAAGTAGTGGATGGATTTTCATCGACTAGTCGATAGGAATGTGGATTCCTCCTTTGAATGTGCAGGAGCCTCTGGTGTTGGCCGTCCAGCTCCCTTCTCTGTAGGGGCTCTTGTACCTTTCAGAGAAGGGTGTGGAACTCGCGTGTAGCTGGGGCCGGGGGAATCACACGGGTGCCGGCTTCAAAATGTGCAAGAGTCCCCAGCAGGAGCTCTTGTGCATTTCGCAGCGGGAGTGCCTGCGTGGAGCCCGAGGTCAGCTGGCGCTGTGAAGTGCCACGTGGAACCGGGGTCAGCTCGGGACTCCCCAGCTGACTCCGGGTTCTGCGGAAATGCCACATGGAGCCTGGGTTCAGGGAGGGAGTCCCCAGCTTGAAATGCTGCTGCGGCGTTTGCAAGGGGCAGCGCCGCACAGCTGATCCCGGGCTCTGTGGTGCTGCCCCTTTGAAACGCCGCCGTGGGGCTTCAAAGAAGCAGCGCTGCACCGAGCCCTCACCGGGCCCCCTCTTCCCCCTTTCGCTGTCTCGAGCGTCAGCTCGTCGACTAGTCCTTAGCACCCTGTCAGGACGGCACTGGTGTAGCTGCTGCAAAAGAAGCAGGTAGCGTGCACCTCTCGGCACAGGCCATAGCAGCAGGGCTGATGCTAGGCAGGCAGCGCTCGGCCCCATGGGTCTGGTTTCCCACAGGACGCTGGTCTTTCGAATTGGGCCCCTCACTGCAGCTTGGTGCCTTACAGGTGAAACCTTTGTTCTGGGAGACGGGCTCCCAGGTCCCCTGGAGCCTCGCCTGGACCCCCTGGACTCCGCCTTGAACTCTGTCAACTCATCCAGCCCCAGGAGGAACTCCAGAGACTACCGCTTGCAGGGATACAGGCATCTGCACCAGCCCTCTAGCCTCACCCAGGGCAACGCCTCTGCCTTGCGGAGGCTAAGCTCTGTGGGTAAGTCCCTTCGTTTGGCAGCCC